TCTCTCTCTCTCTCTCTCTCTGCTCTCTGTCTCTCTCTCTCCTCTCTCTCTCTCTCTCTCGTCTCTCTCCTCTCTCGTCTTCTCTCTCTCTCTCTCTCTCTCTCTCTCTCTCTCTCTTCTCTCTCACTTCTCCTCAGTCTCTCTCTCTCTCTCTCTCTCCTCCTCTCTCTTTCTCCTCTCTCTCTCTCTCTCTCTCTTCTCTCTCTCTCTCTCTCTTCCTCTTCTCTCGTCTTTCTCTCTCCTCTCTCTTCTTGCTCTCTCTCCTCTCTCTATCCTCCTCTCCTCTCTCTCTCTCGTCTCTCTCATCTCTCTCCTCTCTCTCTCTCTCTCTCTCGTCTTCTCTCTCTTCTCTCTCTCTCTGCTCTCTCTCTCTCTCCTCTCTTCTCTTCTCTCTCTCTCTCTCTCTCTCGTTCTCTCTCCTCATCTTCTCTCTCTCTATCTCTCTCTCTCTTTCTCGTCTTTCTCTTCTCTCTCCTCTCTCTCTCTCTCCTCTCTCTCTCTCTCTCTCTCTCTCTCTTCTCTCTCTCTCTCTCTCCTCTCTCTCTCTCTCTCTCTCTCTCTCTTGCTCTCTCATCTCTCTCTCTCTCTCTCTCTCTCTCTCTCTCTCTCTCTCTCTCTCTCTCATCTCTCTCTCTCTCATCTCTCTCTCTCTCTCTCTCTCCTCCTCTCTCTCTCTCTCCTCTCTCTCTCTCTCTCTTCCCTCTCCGCTTCACCTCTTCTATGCATTAGTTTATTTCCCTCTCCTTGTCACTGGTCTCCTCTTTCCTTCATTTTCCTCTCCCTTTTTCACACTTCCTCAATTTCCTCTCATTTCCTGTTCTGTATAACCCATTTACCTTGAAGAAATAATGTACATATGAAGAAGAAATCAAACAAATAAGAAAAAATGCAAAAGGATTATTGGTGCAGACTGCAAAATCACATCCTAACTTACACATCCAAGCAGGCTCAAGAACACCTCTTCTCCACTGCTAATATGTTAGGGAAAATAATTGTTAATGTTGTTATTCTTATTTTTATAATTTATTGTGCATTTGCAACTAGAATTGAACTGTAAAAAGTACATAACCTAATTTCACTTCCTAATACTAGTTTTGTATTCTGGAAACAGAAACCATGTTAGGTTTGAGTTATTAAAGTTCCACTGCAACATCTTGAGAAGTGGGTTATGTTGATTTTAGTATTCAGTGTAGGAATAAAAATTGATAGTAAACTATCCACAGTAATTGCCCATTGCAGCAACTTCTGCTTTATCTTTTCAGTTACTGGTTGAGTAGTATTTCTATACTTGCTGCTGCAGGATTGTATTATTGTGAAAAACTAATTAAATCGCTTGTTAGTGCATTAAAAAATTGGTATCATTGTTATTAATGACAATTTTAAAAGTTTTAAAAATGTTATAATTTCTCCCACTATTATGCAAATTAATGACCTGAGCTGACCAAATATTTACAATTATCGAGTAGAGAGAGGCTAGCAAAAACATTCAAACTGAAAGGGGCCATTATCCAGAAGTATTTGGAAATTTGGAAACCAAAATTCTTTTAGTGTAACCATATTACTTTCATTTTACACTTCGTTTTTTAAATATTTTGTATTGTATTAAATTATTTATTTTATTTTTTTCAGCTATATATACAATACGATCCAAGTTATTTATCTGGATCCCAGATGGTTCAGCGCCCTGGACCTGTCCAAAGCAATGTTGTACCGACAATTCCACACTCATCATCATTTTACTCAGGATCAGCTGGTATGATAATTAAAAGTTGCTAATTAATGTAATGTTAGAATGTGAAAAATATATTCCATTGTGCATTCTTTTTGAGTCTTATGTTCAAAGTATTTTATATTTTGAAAAATGATAGAGCTGTTTAGGTTCATTTGAAATTACATTGTTTTTTATTAACATTTCAAATAACCATTTCAATTAATAAAGGTTGTGCAGAGTTTTGGATGGGCAACCTATTTTTGAGATTTGGTATGATTTGAAAATATGAAATGCTTATGGAGGATGAAAATGCAGCTTATAATGAATGTTGTACTATTGACCAAATGCTTCAATTACCTACAAATTTCTTGAAACTATTTTAATATAAGTACCTGCGACATTGTGATTAACAGAGGTACAAATATTGCCTAAAATTGTTATTGTTAGAGCTATATTTTTCAGTTATTTCCCAATAATATGTTTCATAACGAATGATTTCATCAATATATTTAAAAAAAATATAAAAATAATTTTAAAAACTATTTAAGTAATAATTTTTGAAATGGATATAATAATATTGTTTATAATTCTTTTTAAAATAACTGTATGATTATCATAATTGTATATACATACTAGTTTATTGAAAAACTTATAAATTTTATTCATGTTGCGGCCTGGTGCTTTGAATCTTGTGAAAAAGTTGCATCTCTTGAGGAATTTAGTAATTGGAACTGATTTCTACGTGGGAAAAAGCTCTTGATTTGTTGTTTACCTGACATTCTGGTTGGTCTTTAAATTAATGTACTCACCATTAACTAGGAATATTTCATACTAAATCAAATAGTGATCTCAGTGTATTAAATTGAGTACTGTAATTACTGATCTTGCACTCTCGAGAACAGATTTAAATTGCAAGCAATATGCGCACAAGTTCACGATGTTATTGAAGGCATATGGCAGATATTTATGAATAATTATGATCCCTCCCTTCCTTCCTCCCCCTCCCTTCCTTCCTCCCCCTCCCTTC